TTTCCCCACATACCTCCCTCACCTTTTCCAAATCTTTACTCACATCTCACCTTTTCAGTGAGGTTTACTTTGAGCACCCTGTTTACTACTACAACCTCTTTGTTTTCCTTATCTCAAAGGCCAGATAGTTCCTAACACTCTATTTCTTATTAATGTATCACTTATCAAGTTCTAACACTAGGTAACTACTTGTATGTCACACACACACACACACACGTAATTTATATACATTAGACTGAAAGTTCTATTAAGGAAGGCAATTGTACTTCTCCACTGACATGTCTAAGTACCCCAAAGGAGAACTAGGTACACAGTAGGTGTTAAAGAACTATTTTTTTGAGTGAATAAAAGAACAAATCAATAAATTAATAATACACGTATGAGACAATACCAAATCCTAAATCAAATAATTTTCCTAAAGAACATTTCTAGTATACATTTCTTATGTTCTATACCTACATTAGAGACACATGTATTGCCTCACAACCGAGTTTTTGAAGGGATTTCACAAGTGGGTTCACTGACCCTATAGTCACCATTGGGAATGGGCACTCCCAGGCTTACGATATAATGTTTAGTGTCTATGTTGTTGTTAGCTGCCAATGTGTCAATCTTTGGCTTATGCTGACCCCGTGCACAATGGAACCCAACGCTGCCAAGTCTCATGCCATTTCCTTGATAGGTCTCTTTTAAAAAAAACAACAAAACATTGTAATTCTATTCTGACTCCCAGTGACCCTCTAGGACAGAGCAGAAGTGTCCCATAGTGTTTCCAATATTGTAAATCTTTAGGGAAGCAGAATGTTGTTTCTCCCAAGAACAGCTGGTGGTTTCTAACTGCTGACCTTTCAGTTAGGGGCTTCAAGTGTAACTGCTTGGTGCCACGTGTGCTCTTTCTGGGACTCTTCAGGTGTCTTCAGATCCATTCCTTCAAGATACTTTTACCTTCTTTTTCTCATTATCATTTTCTTTCGGAATATTTACTTACTCCCCTTGGCCTCGACTCTGTGTGCAAGCTGAAACCACCATCCTTCGGCTCACAATCTATACTGCTTCCCCGAGTGTCCTCCCTCTTCTCCCTTTCTAAATGTTCTCCTCTGAGTTCATTTCCTTTTAAATAACCTGTTTAAAGGGCTAATAATCAAGAATATCAGTTTATCATCAGTTACCACATGCTTTAAATGATAATCTTTCCAATTGCTTCGTCTGCATCTGAAAGCTGGACGATGAATAAGGAAGACAGAAGAACTGATGCCTTTGGACTGTGATTGACAAAGAAGACTCTTTACTATCACATGGACTTCCAAACAAGAATAAACAAGTTTTCCTTGGAGGAGGGACAGCCAGGGTGCTCCTTAGAAGGATGGTGAAATTTCATCACACATCCTTTGGACATGTTTATCAGGAGGGGCCAGTCCTTGGAAAAAGACATGATGCTGGGAAAGTTGGAGAGCTAGTGAAAGAGGAAGGCTCTCAACAAGATGCATTGACACAGTGAACGGAACAATGGGCCTGGGCAGAGCAGGTATCGTGGGCTGACACTGGATAGGGCAAGGCTCCTATCTGCTGCTCAGAGGGTCACCATGAGTCACAGTTGACTCATAACAACAAGGATAACTCACTTCCCATTTTCTTGGCAAAAGCTTTCCTGATCTTCCACAATACTCTTCCCATCCATTCACAGCACTTACCCAACTGATATTTAATTCTGTATTACAGTGTGTTCTGTGAATTACAGTGAAGTATGTTTTGTGAATTACAGTGAAGTATTGTTTTACTGTCCTTTTCATATAATTTCTGAATTGTTCTGTAAACATTTTTAGAGTCTGGCCAAAAGGAAGGTTTAATTTCAAATTTTCACTGTAAGACTGATTGACAGGTCTTCTCTCTCCAATGACAGGCTCTCTAGAAGAATGGGACGAGCATTTTAAGCTCCCTTACCTTTGCCATGGACCCTCACACAATGTCAGGAACACAGCAGGCATGAAGGAAGTGTCTGCGGGCCGTTGAATGATTGGAAACCCACACAAGAAACAAACCCCCAAATGCAAAGGCATGTGCATGGTTGAAAAGGCAAAGTAAAAAACAAAAAACTATAAAAGAGATGCATTTTTGGTCACTTTGTATTAATTATCATTAATCTGGCCAACAATGTGAAAACATACAGCATGAAAATTCATCTCAATGCTTCATTTACAGTCATATAATTTTCTGCATTACCCTGAAATGCAGTTTCTTGGTTTAGTATAATAATTCCTGAGGCTTTTAATCTAGCCCATATTCTATTGTAGTCAAATGGGCCAAAGCCAGGGCATACTCAAGCCTATCCCCCGAACCAGACCACTCTGCATGCCCTGGGCTCACGGTAAGGTGCCCACATCACTGCCTTTTGTTAATACAGATTGAAGATTGGAAGAACTAAAAATGAGGACACAGAACCTGCAGGTCAGAAATTGCACTCTGTTCCCCAGTTTTTCTCATTGATTCATTTAACAGGTGCACATGGAGTACTTACTGTTGCCTGCCCTGTCCTGCACTGGGCATTTACATACACAATCTCATTTGCTCTTACCACAACCCTTCAAGCAGCTATCATGAATGTTCCATTTTACAAACAGAGACCTCGCTCAGAAAGGTTAAATAACTCAGTCACATTATAGTTTGGAAATTGCAGGTTGGGACAGTGCTGATGCCAAAGTTCTTGTTCCTTCCACATGTCAGGCTGCCTCTGGTGTCTCAGAATTTGTTAGAGGCACAAGAGAATACATGACTCAAACACGTGTAGCTTGTACAAACACAATTTAACTACAAGAGATGATGTGGAGAAGTCAGATTGGACATTGACCTTTGATGGTGGTTGTCAGTAGGTGCAACCTTTGGTTAGAGAGCTATTAATGAATTATAGATATTATTGACTTATTGATATTATTGTCCTTTGGTTAGAGAGATGGCCAGGTGGTCAAAACAACTTTCTGGAAGGAAGAGCTAAGCTCTTGTATCTTCTTTTCTCTAAATGATGGCTCCCACCCATTTCTTCTTCGAGAAAAAGGCAATCTAGTCATCTTATTAGACCTCCAAGTCCTTTTCAACTTGAGCACTGGATAAAGGCTCAAAGGTCTGGGAGGTGACAACAGTTTCTATTTCCTCCCTCCAGGGCCTGGGAGGCCATGGTGAAAACTGAAAGTGCCTTCTGACCACAATTTGAGGACCAGCTGCAATGTCATCATCTTGTCAAGACCTGATCCTGAAGGCTCAGATCTGTGTCGATGAAAATGTGATGAAATGAGACTAATTTCAAAACAAGTGGCATAAAATTTGCCCTTTTAAAACTGAGAGAAGATCAAATTTTTGACACAACAGGCAGCAGGCAGCCCAGGGTGTGCAGTTCTCCCAGCTGTCAAAGAATTTCCCTTTCTCTCTCTTGCCCACCCCTTAGCCCCTTGCTGTGGAGGGACAACTCACTGCTGACTCCCCAGCAGGTTTTTTAGGAGACTTCCCAGCAAAGAGTTTAGTAAACAATTACTAGACTGCCAACCTGAGAAACCTGGCCCCAGAGGCTCTGCCTTCCAGCCTGCATATGCCTACTCTATCAGACCCAGCCATCACTCACCAACACACAGTGGGCTGGTGAAACAATTCCCAGCGGGATTACTAATATACAAAGACAGACCCGCCACAAGACCTTCGTACATAATAAACTAACAATGATCACTTCATTCCCCAAATGTGGAAATTACCAGCGGTGAAACATAAGAGTATAAAAGGAATAGAAAACCTTCATGCTGTAGCAATACCAACATCCTATTTTAAGCAGTTCTATGATTTTGCCACTAATTTTAAGTGCTACCGTGACTATGCTGCTAAAAGGCTGCTTCTATTAAGGTAGGAAGAGTTCAACACTGCTCCATATTCGAGGAAGTCATGTAAAAAAGTCCCTTAGCCAGCAGGTCTAAGAGAAGGCAGACCAGGAAGTTGGCCATGTGAATTATTAATATGTGCATTATTATGTAATTGGGGGTCCTGAATGTTCACAGCCCTGAGAGTCTTACCATGACCAGTCAGCAAGTAATCTTAGCACACTATGTGTCCATGGACACATGAGCATTAGCGTCAAGGAGGCCCACGTCATAGGGCCGCTCTCTCACATTGCAGCTTTATATACTATGCACTCGTGGTAGGTTTGTCTCTTTGCTCCGCCTAACTGGGGCACACAGGGAGGAGTCCTGGCCCTACACCCAGCTGTAAGCAGGAAACTTGGCTTTAGTGGTCCAAAGGGCAGAGAGCTGCCCACCTCTGCAAAGCCACTTCTGACCTGCTTCTCCTTAGGGGTTAAGACTGAGCAGGGGGAGCCCAGGCCACAGCACAGAGCAGCATTCTCAGTTAGCAAACCCGCTTCCCCACTCAGGAGTAGAGTTCTGGACAACAGCGGACTCAAACCAGGAAGTGCAAGGGGGAGGAACATTCCAGGGTGAAATGAAAAACCAAAAACCAGGGGGTGGATAAAAAAAAGGCAGGAGGGGAAAAAAATAGAAAAAGAAAACAAAATGCTCAAAGCCCACGTGGCTGGCTGGTTAACCATGGGTTAGAATCAGGTTTGGAGAATCACATGGTAACTGGGTGTCTTTGGTAAAGCCACAAATCCCGGGATGGAAGACATGGGGGTGAAAGGCATTTCCCATTTCCGGAAACAGGAAGTTTCCTTCTTTCACCATTTAGTCTCTCTCACTCTCACTCTCTCTCTTTTTGTTTGTTGGTTTCTGTTCTGTTTGTAACCAAACTGGAACCATCGACCATTTTTACCTGCCCTGTATTTTCATCTTTCCAGAATCAAGGCAGTAACAAAGATGGGGTCCTTAAAATCTTTTCCCTATAGCCAATTCCAAAAAGCCCGTCTCTCCCAGGGTTACAGAGTGCTCAGAGCAGGACATCTGCAGTGGGACATGCCACACACAGCAAGTCGCTCAAACCAGGCTGCGGGCAAGGGCCTCCAGGGGACTTACTTGTACTTGTGCTGGTTCCAATCGTATTGATCGTGGTGGGGACAGATGAAGAGGAGTAGAGTGGCACGTGGCCATTCTCACACCCCAGGCTTTTGTCCTGCCAGCTGGAGGCGTTGATGCAAATCCCAGAATCCCGAGAGTTCTGCCACCCGTTGAGCTTGTCATCGGAGTTCTGTCTTTGGTGATAGTAGTGTGTTTGCCCATAATCCACAGAGTCCGAGCGGCCTCGGTTCTGGCCACTGAAGCTGGTCGACGTGCGGTCCTCCAAGTGGTTCAGCCACATGGCCAAAGCACTGCGGTCTTCCAACGACGTGGCCGGATGGATCAACGCATAGGACAGCAACTGCCTGCTTTCCTCGATGTGCTGGTTGTGTTCAATAGAGTGAGCCAGGATTTTGGGCAGCAGTTTCATATACTCTACTTTTGCGTCGAGATTTCCTGGCTTCAGCAAAGGCAGGTGAGTTAACAGGAGGGAAATCACTTTATCCTTGGATTCCTGTTGCCATTGGTTAATGATTCCTGAAAAGGAAAATATACAGGGCAAATAAGCAAACACACTCACTTTGACACTAAACATCACAGGGTAAGGAGAATTCCTGGGGGATTAGCCTCAATCTATATCCTTAGTCTATACATTTCCTCAGCCAAGTTCAATAAACGACATCAGATTGTTGGGGGGAGCAGTGCCTTGAAATGACATGCACTGCGAATGTTCTGAGATGTTTGTGCAATCTCATTTTCATTAATGTCTCTAAAAAGGCAATTACTACTTGGTACAGCCAAAAGAATTTGCAGTCCCACTTTCTAAGACAAATCTAGCACAGGCTTGGACAGGGATCTGAGGAAAAAGGAAATATCCAGGAAAGCTAGTATAACCAAGAGTCCGTATATCTAAATTGTTCAGTGAAGTTGCTTCTTCTACCCCAGACATCTCTGGAAAGTTGTTCAAATGCTGGCAAAGTTTCATGGGTGGATAAATAAACCAGGGAGGGGGGTAGATACTGCTCTCACCTCCTAATAGTATACCTGTCCCTTTCACCTGACTCAGAGGATATACATCGGCTCAAAGCTAATGAGCAATGAAGCTAAGACTTGGCTCCCAGGACACCTCTGCAAACAAATGTTAAGTGGGCTGTTTTTACACAAAGATCCATTTTTAATACACAAATATCCCTTTCCTATTCCCTCCTACTCAAAGCACAAGTTTGCTGCTTTAAGTAAACATGTGCAAACAAACATAGTAGCAGCATCGATTGGTATTTGGGAAGTAGCTGGTTCTGTAAGGTGATGATAGTCACAGGAGTTGAGGCCACAGGAAGACAAGCTCTCTTCTAGGAAAGTCATTTCTGAAACCAAGAGACCTCAACTCTGGCTAGTGTGCACAGCTGGCTTGTATGAAGTATTTACAGGACTGGAAATGGCTTCACACTTCACACTTCTAGCCGAGCATAAACATATCAACTAAATCCAGTGATCGTTATAAGCTACAAAGATATATTTATATAATTATATTACTCATATTATAAGCTACAAAGGTATCTCATGACCACAGGACACATTCAAAGAAAAGGATCAGATGAGGAAGGAATGGAATACAAGGAAAGAAAGAGGTCTTGGAATTGGGTAAATTCAGATCTGCCACATAATTTATGGTGAACTTTAGTAAACTGTTCAATCTCTCTGAGCGCAAACGTCTCATCAGTCAGGACTGGTACAAATTAGCATCTGCCCTGCACTCTGCTATGGGATTAAATGAGGTAATGACTCAAAAGGACCAATCAAGTACTTGGCAGCGGAATGAATTCCTTCTACCTGTCTGTCTTCGCATCGGTCAGGCCTTAATTAGAGTGATCTGCCTTTTAGTTACTAAATTAAAAAAAAAAAAAAAAGAGTCAAAGGGTCAAATAATTACTCTAAAGCAAAGACGAGAGGATAGCGGGGCAGGGGAACCAGATTACTGGAAACCAAACATACAGAATGGAATTAATGAGAGTGTGTACATTAATTGTTAAAGGGGAACTTAATTTGCTATGCAAGCTCTCATCAAAACCACAAATATTATTTTTTAAAATAATAAAAGAGAGAATCTATAAAAGTCACTGAAAAGAATCAAGGGATTGGAAAAGAGCAATAAAACCAAAGTATTAAAGAAAATAAAAGATGAAAGGCTTATTGAGTTTATACTGAGAGTAATATGAGAAGACACTTAGTTCTCCTCAAGTGGGAATTTCACGAAGATATCCTGACCCATCAACTATTTGAAGACTAAGTTTTCAAATTAAACATGAGATACTAATATTGAATCAAACTGATTTTTTTTAAAAAAAAGAGTCACCAAGGAAATCTCTGGACTCTCACTGTCCTGGAGGTTTGAATAATAGAGCTAGATGGTGTAGGACATTGCTGTCAGAAACCCAACAGGAGCTATGTGTGGAATAGAAAACCCTGGTGCTCTAGATCATAAGGGGGTGGGCTGCTTCCCCAAAGGTGACACCTTTCTGATAGGCTGAATCCAGCAGTGGCTCTTGGCAGAAAGACAGGCAATCTCCTCTTGTATGACTTGCAGCCTCAGAAATACAAGGGTCATTTGGCTTATTCTGATTCAACCGTGATGCGTTTGAGCTATTATGTATAAAATAATATTTTCTAGCTGTATTTTAGATTATTTTCTGGCATTACTATAAACGGAAAACTATGAAATTAATTTTAATATCATTTCTTTCACCCAATATATCTGAAACATTATCATTTCAACATGTAACTAATATAAATTCTCGAGATACTTCATAATCTTTTTAATAGTAACTCTTTAAAATACAGGGTGTATCATTACCTTGCCTTTTCAGGTCCCCACACATCCTTCCCATTTCCTTCACCCTCTCCCTACACTCACCAATTGTGCAACCCTGTGCTTTTGCCCCTGGCCCATCCTCACTCCTCTGCTCCAGCCCTTTTGGATTCCCACGCACATTTTATAGTTAACTTTCTATTTTTACAATAATGGTAATGATGGGAAAGGTCCAGTGGGGATTAATTTTATAAAATATAATGCATGAGAATGACTGAAATACAATGTGAATGAAGAATAATGTGAAACATAATGTATATCAACTTAGTAAGCAAACCAATATAACATTTAAAAGCTACTATATAAAAAATATCGTATGTATGTTACCACCTACGGCACATCTTAGATTATCCATTGTTGGGATTCTTGGAATTCTCAGAAGCCACATGTGGCTGGTGGCTACTGAACTGGACAGCATGGGCGGGAGACAGTCATGCTGGGGATGGCTGGCAGCAGGGCACAGATGGCCTTGTGGGTCCCTCCCAGCTCTCTGGCTCTATATTTAACTAATGCCACCTGACACAAGACTACTTTTATGGCTTACATTCTACAATGCCTCCCTTTAAAGGAGTGCTGGTAGATGAAGAAAGCACTAATTCTAACTCCCATTTTCAGCAAACACGAGGCAGGTTTTATATTAGTATTCTGTTTGCAATGAAGAGAACAATCTATGCATTATACCTCAACATCTAAAGAGGTACTGGGAAGACACGAAAGGGGTGGAGAAGATAAACCAGTGTCATCAGTCAATACTGGTGAGGTGCAAGTATGTTTCACCTTCTAAAATGTACATTTTAAAAGAAAACCTGAAACAATAGTTAGTGAAACTCTACAAGCCTAATAAACTCCCTGGCTTACAGCTCCACTTCTCCACAGAATACCAGTCGTCCCCACCCCACCCCACCCCCTCAAAAAAAAATCAAAAGCAAAACCAAATCGTGACTAGAACTCAGAATGCAAATGAAATCTGTTATCTCCATGTTATTGCACTCCTGCCAGGGATTAACCTGAGAAAGGACAAACATGGGGGGGGGGGGTGAGAGGGCTCTGGTTCTGGCCTCTCCCAAGGATGAAATAATTTTTTCTCTGTCCTTCAGTCAAGGCGTAGAAGGCTATGTATGGTGTAGTCAGGAAGACAACTATGGCTTTTGTTTCATCCCATTGGGAACACAGAAAAATGATTGCCTTCTTTGGGCTAAACACACCTACTAGATCAAACTATTTCTGCTCTTGCTAAGGCTGCCACTGCTGACAGCTAACAGCTATCCAATGCTTCCGTGTGCCAGACATTCTTCTAAGCACTGTGCTTTTAATTACACATTGAGTCTTCACAAGAAGCTTATGAGGTGTTACCAATTTTATTTTATAGATAGGGACAAAGAGGTATAGAGAGGTGAAATATTTGGCCCAAGGTCTTCTGGCAGGTTTGGTGGCAGCAAAGAGATAAGCAAAATGGCATAAAGAAAAACAACAGTAAAAATACACAGCAGAGCTTACCCATCAACTAAATATAGTACTAGAGGATATAGATCAGCAGATGGGCTGGTTGGTCATGGAAGCAAATAAAACAGGAATTATAGACACAAAGCAGGTAATGATTACTTTGGTTTTTACATGCCAACAATTTTTATTTTCCCATACCCTTCTCTTCACAAGATGGAAACTAATTCCCTTCCCCGATGTAGACGGGACTTGGTGAGTCACTTCTAGCAAAGATTATGTAGCAAAGATTATGTAGCAAAGATTATGTATTAGAAGCGAGTGTGTTTCTTTAGGTTGTAGGTTATAAAAGGCACTGCTACTTCCACTTTGCTTTTGGATTTCTGCCTCTTGAGGAACCATGTGCTCTGGTCTGAGGATCCTCAAACAGTCCTATCAAGAGGTCCTTGTAGTAAGGAACTGAGGCCTCCTGCCACCAGCCAGCACCACCCATATTTCTGATCCACTGAAATGGTATGTTTATTATTGTTCTGAGCTGCTAAGCTTTTAGGGTGTTACGCAGCCAAAGATGAGGAGTATGCCAACCAAAATGCCTCTCCAAAGGCATAAAAGTTTTAGCCATTTGACTTTGAGAAGTTCAGCCCTTCATTCTGAGGTGGGAGCATGAAACTCCTCCAGCTGTTAGACATGCACCTCACTTGGTTCCTTCCTTAGCCTGATCATGTGCTCCCCAAACAACTTTCAGTCTATGATTTGGCTCCCCTGGTGCACTGATCAAACAGACATGAGGTATTTCCAGATGCTGTGACAATAATTTTTCAGGGAAACTTAATAAGTAGTTTCTGATTGTGATTTGGCTGCCTGTGGAGACCGGCCTACAGGGAGAATGTGAACTGATTGTGGGGACCTGGGGTACATCTAGTCCAATTGATGAGAGGTTTGTCACAGTAATAAGGCAGTGTGGGGGGATCTGCTTTCTACTTAGCATGAGTCAATTTTTCAAGGTAAGCAGCTCTAAGCCACAGTCTCTGCCTCCAAACAGAAGCCAGATCTTAAATACGGGGACTCAGTGCAGCCTGACCACTGCTCACTGCCTTTCTTTGTGAAGTCCAGGCCAACACCAGAGTCTAAAGAACCTTTGCTGAGACGTACTTTCAACAGATTGTCCTCACTTGAAAAGGCGTGAATTCCCAGGATCTTCAACGAACGGATCACTTCTATGCCACAATTT